TATGTATATATGTATATATATATCATCTTACATTCTGTACATTTTCCTTGCTTTTGACGAAAAAAAATATTGGTCTATCGTGAACAAGAGTTGAGATAATTGAGATTGAAAAAGAGGGGGTCACTTGGTGTCAGAGGTAAAATTAGCGAGAAAATGGCGGCCAAAGTTTGGTCACTTTCAAAGATTGAGACCTTGGAAACTGCACATTTACATTTTATGTGCTTTTGATTAAGGTTTTTCAGTAAAATCTACGGAGCAATGTGTTTTTAAATGGACATTATTTAGTAAGCAAAAAATAAACAAACCTACAAAATCGATAAAAATTCCCCCATGGACTGAAAAATGTTGGTTTTTTTCGATTTCATTATTTTGACGGACACCTGATTTCACTACGATGCACATTAGCCTACATTTCGAGCCCATTGGTTTGGTCATTGATCAGTGTATCGGTTTAACACCCCTTTCAGCGCCATGACATCCAAACTTAACCGCCGCCCCCGATAGGAACGAGCCAAAAGGGCTGTGAGCCTTAAAAACTCCCCAAACAATCCGAGTTCAAAACTTCGGGCTGGGAATTCGAACCAGGGACATCCGTGCCGTAGCTCAGTATGATGCCATCTGAACTAACGTTTGTGCCCGTCCATTCATTTGTATAGACGGCAAGAAGTGGAGCTGCTCTATTCGTACGGTACGTTTAAAAAAATCCATCCAAATTTATTTATTTATTTATTTATTTATTCATTTACTTATCTATTTATTTAAATATGTGGGGGTGGATGGGTGTGGGGGTAATCTAGTTATAGACTTGTATACCAAAAATGCGCTGTGTATTGGCTGTCGCTCATTACTTTTAATATCTAAACTACACTGCAAGGCCAGAGCATCATAACGTACAGAATGAACGGGAAAACACCAGTCCCGTTGTAGTCGAGTGTGCACGGAGTCCTCCCCCCCCCTCCTCACCCTTTTCCCCTTTAGTTTGTCCCTCATTTGGCCCAAATAATGCCCCCTATAGCGAACCTGAAATACGTCAGAGTCCATGGTCTAGGATAAGATAATACAAGTCTATGGATTTAGCTTCCACAAAAATCAAAACTTGTTCAATAGCCTTTAGTAGAACACGGCTACATTGAATCAGTGTTAAGGTTAGCCTGTTAACATATTTTTCTATTCGGTATTTATTTATGACCGAATGTCTGCGAACCAGTCCATATTTTGCAAGTTCCTTTCATGTGATCTGCAGCCTCCTTTCGACTACAGATCTTACCATGACTGAGCCTTTACTAAGAGAGAACAACCATCTGGAAAGGATTCAACAGAACACTGGAATTACTTGCACTGGGAGCTGTGGTCTATGGCTCCTCTTATTACATTCAAATCACAAAGATGTCAGTTGTTGAAAAAGAGTTTATTTGTTCACGGCAATGAAATAACTGAGGTTATGTTTTCTGACATTATATACTCTTTTTCGTAAATCAAATATAAAATGTCTGCAATGCGTGGTAACGTTTGATTAGTAATAATCTGCTTTCGTGACAATTCCTTGCGCATGTCTGTCTTATACTCAATGAGCTGAGATGAGAAAATCTGAGAGTCGGGGGTATTTCACCCCACATGTTGTTTTGGTGGTTCAGCCTAAGTGCTGTTATGGTAGTTCAGCCTAAGTGCTGTTATGGTCGTTTAGCCTACGGGCTGCACATTGTAACGGTGACCATAGTTTTCAAAGTATTCCTGAAACTGGTATTCATGTTGTAGTAAACAAGAATGTTGGCCGAGGAGTTAATTGTCTGACAAACAAACGTCCCGACGGTCAGGAGAACCACCACGTTGCGATAGCTCCCTGCGAACGTCATGCCAGACACGATTTTGGTCAAGAAGACAACCACAAGTCGCACAGAGTTGCAGAGGAGAGACATAACTGCCAGAGCGGTGACCGTCTTCACAACTCTCATGTTCTTATCTGACATGTGTTGACTATGGCCTTGCTTCCCACCCACTCCTTGGTTCGGTTCGGACTTCTCCCCCTCGACTGTTCCCGTGGAATGAGTTGATCCTTCTTGTGCTCCCTTTGTGACGGTCCCGGGTGGGATAACGTCCATACGGCCCCGGAATCTTGCTGATCTTTCCAGACTCCACACCATGACGTAGGTGGACACTAAGACAATGACCTGATATAGAGAGGCCATACTTGTCTGAAGAAAAAACCGGATATACAGTTCAACGCTCGGTCTGTAGTCAGCGACCCAGAGGAACAGGCGGGTGGTGTTGGTTGTGGGGTCCCAGCGACCTACGAGCCCTGAACTGATGTAGTGAGGAACGTACGCCGCCACCGTGAAAATGTACAGGGCTGAGACGATAACCACGGCCCTTCTGAAAGTGAAGAGTTCTTTAAACTTGAGCGGCATAGCAACGCATAAACAACGTTCCAGAGCAACGAAAGCCATCACGGCTTGTGATATGTCGTAAAACATAGTGCAGATGTAGCTCACGACATAGGCAAAGGAGTAGGGGTGAATGACTGAGTAGACGTTAAAGTGGATAAGCAGGTTGTAGGTGTAGATGATACCTCCGCTGAGAACACTGCAGAGATCAGAGATTGTTAGCGCCAGCAAGCAGACAGACACGCAGTCCTTGACGCCCTGATGGAGAAAGACAGCTGCGTTGATGAGATTTGCCGCTACACCTAACAGGGCCACTGGCAGGGCCACGAGAAATCCCATGTACAAACCCACCAGATCTTCAACTGAAGCCATGGTTATCCCCTGAATACCTTCAAGAACAGTATAAGATGATTTCTAGAAATTAATAAAAGAACAGAGTTTTTCTGTAAGAAGAATGTATAACAGGAGAATAAATTTTTATTTTAATAGCGGCCCGTTTTCTGAAACAGAATCAACTCTTTGGTGGCGAGAGCACGGCGATATGAGAACGGATATCTTGTCTTCAGTTCCTCAAAAAAATATTTCCCACTGCTAAACATTCACTGTTCTATTAACAACTACAACTACTGCTTTAGAAACTGGAGGATAGTGATAGCTGAAGTATATAAGTATTGAACTTCTAAGGCCCTTCTCTTTGCGATATGTCAATCGGAGTGCTTTTGTAACTATCAGTTAGTATCAAGTTCTACTTTAATATATGTTTGACATAGAATTTGTGGAAGTGAAAATGACCTTATCAGTAAATTCACGTTCTTTGTAACGATAGATATTATGTTGATAATTATTTAATTACTCGTAAGCCTCCATTGAATCTCGACAAACAGAGCTACTACATGACGAGACCCTTCAGTACATACACACAGATAATGAGTTAAGATAAGTGGGCTAGTAACAACAACAGCTCATCTTTTCACACGAGGCAGCTTCAATCTCCAAAAGAAATCATTAAAGTACTATAGAAAAACATCAGCAACGTCTTTGTAAGTAAAAAATCGACACTGATTAGCAACAATTAAGTTCCCCCTTTCTTTTCACTGCACTAATTGGGAATGGGGGTTCAATAAACTATTAGCGAGTTTGAATCTATTAAACACTTATTTTTGAGACAATCAACTCATCCATTATTGAGACTAAGAGCGAAGAAAATTGCTCTACAGTGAACACTCTGCATTTGTCCTTTCCATGATTTAGACGTGTAGTTCAATAATGTCACTCCTGGTGATGTTACGTTGACGCCCTGATTATAATTATTCAACCCCACTTGGTGCGCGTGTTGACAGCAAGCAAAGACAACCTGGCTCTTAATTTAAGTAGAAATAGCTTTTGTCATTCCGATACCATTGGGCTACAAGGAATTTTCTGCGGGCTTGAAACTACTTGAATTTTAACAATTTTGGGGTGCTGAATTCGAAAAAGATAATCGTTTTTAATAATTAGACCCAGTTTATTTCTAAAATACAGCATGAAGCGGATTTTTCATATTTCTTATTTTTTCTTAAAAAGAGACAAAAGTGTACTTGGGATCAATGATTCTAGGTTGTAAATATTTTAGTTGTATACTACAGTCGCCATGAAAGGGGTCTGAATTCTAGGTAGCGTGATACGATTTATTTTCTCTCCTTTTCTTCACTGTGACCATTCAGTTTTCACTCAGCAAACAGAGTGCTACAGAACCAGAAACAGCTCATCTTACTTTCACACCAATACTGTATGTACATTAACGTATGCGTCGCACTCCCAACAATTTCTGTTATAGGCATATCAACTGTAAAATAAACTACCCGGGTAAAATTCAAAGTTTAGTCCTACTGAACTAAAAATGGCGCGCTCATGTAACCGTATTCAGTTGACACTTACAAACCCACACACACACGCACACGCACACACACACACACACACACACACACACACACACACACACACACACACACACACACAGAGAGAGAGAGAGAGAGAGAGAGAGAGAGAGAGAGAGAGAGAGAGAGAGAGAGAGAGAGAGAGAGAGAGAGAGAGAGAGAGAGAGAGAGAGAAGACATCAAGTCACGCCTCGGTCTTTTTGCTGGGCTGCTTTCCTCACAGACCAGATCGGTTAGCTGACTATAATAATATTATTGGCTGAAGCAGCCCGGCTCTTATCAAGTAAAACAGTCGAAATTGTCGAAGACGGCCCTCATTGTCAAGGAAACAAGTGGTTATCTTAGACAGGTAGACACCTCGAACAAAATGAAATGATATGGGTTTAATGCCCCTATCAACACTATTAGGTTATTTAAGGGGCGGGACCTCCTAGTTTAACGTCCGTCTCCGATAGGACCGAGCCAAGTGGGAAGTTCGTGTAAAGGGCCTGTCCCAAGGACAAAACGTCGGACCGAGCTGAGGCTCGAACCTCCGAACCTGCAATCTCACGATTACGAGTCCGGTAGCCTAACCACAAGACTACCGACGCCACTTCACACCTTGAACAGGGTCATTACAATACCAACAACTCCCCCCCCCCCCCCCCACAACAACAACCAAAAAACCCAAGGGTGAAATGAGAAATAGGAAGTGATCGTTTGTACATGTGATTATTTTGGACTGGTGAAGGTCAGAGGTCAGAGGACGTTCAACTGTTATCTACATAGTAAGAAAAGGCGAAAAACATTTGCAAAAAAAGCAGAATTTACTCTTCAACAAAGATAGAAAAATGCAGCTAGGCTACCGTTTTCACCACCAGGATAGACTCAACATGTATTGGCCTGTTGCTGTCTTCGTCAATAGATGATTAAAGAAATATTGACACCCACATGAAATATAATTTGAATTCATAATATTTCAAATTTCTCAAAATTGGATACTGAGCAGACATCATCATCATCATCATCCAGTGCCAGATCTGCGACAGACATCGGCGATCATGGTTTTCCATTCATTCCTTTGCTCGGATGCTCTAAAAAAAAGCTACGTTTCCCTGATCTTTCCCTGTTACCCATTTGTTTAGGTTCCCTAAGTATGTTGTTCTGGGCCTACCTCTGCCTCGCTTGCCCTCAATTTTGCCAGTGAGAGCTAAATGTTCAAGACCCTTATGAGCAGATATATAACTTTGTAATTCTGAAGTAGCACAGTATGTGCGATTTTGATGAAAAGAAAGTCCATCGAAGCTTCGAAGCATGAAGTCACTATTCAGGCAATTGGGATATTTCGTTTGTGTATATTTCTTTTCTTTAAAAAAAAATATCTAAAGTCTGGCTCCACTTATCACTCTGTCTCGAAACCATCAAGTGTAAAGAATTTCTGTATTTACCTTAATCATTCTAGATAAAAATGACCTCTAATTTTGCGACGGTTGGAAGAAAATTAAACCACTGTCCGTAAAAATCACACGGATCTGAATGCCCCGTCTGTGGATTACATTACTGTGAATAGCGAATAATATAGTGTGAATGTTGAGTAATAACATGGAATGGGCACAACTCTTGAGCAGACTGCCTCACATACAAATTATTTACATAACATTGTTGTTATCTCATGGCTGATGGGTACAAGCAGTGACATCGCTACGTGGAAAAGTTACTAAGAGGAGCAAGATTAATGAGAAGTGTTGAAAATTAACAGTTAAGAGCTTTAGACTGATTTTTTTGGTAAGTGTTTTACGGCGCTCGCAACTGCATAAGGTCATATGAGCACGCGGGACACACCTAATATTTTTCAGTAGGTAGGAAATTTTGAATTTTGCCCGGGTGGCGGCCGAAGCCTACTCTTATCGATTTTAGACCACCAAGGGATCTTTAACGTGCGCAACTTGCACACGGGCCCTCCGAGATTTTTCGCCCTTGTCCGAGAAGGCTAGGTGTAGATCTTTCCTACCAGAAGATCAGGGGTGTGGCTGAAAGACAGCAGTAAGAAGAAGCGAAGGAGTAGCAGTAGAAAGGCTGCAGAAAGAATCAGGAGCCCAGAGGAAGGGGCAAAGGAGGTGAGGGGGTGGGGGCAGAAAGAGGAGACGAAAGCAGACGACAGAACATTGCTAGAGAGCAGGAAATCAGGTGAAAGGAGACAATTTTAGAGAAGAAAATTCGAACCCGGGACCTTTCAATGAGAGACCAACACCTTAACCTCTAGGCCACGAGAGCCCCCACCCCCTCTCCACTTAAGACTTAGAGTTAGAGTTGACCTAGATTACTGCACTGAAACTTTTAAAGAAGAGTGCGTGCGTGGACGCGCGAGCCATGGAAAATTAATTGTGAGAGTTTAGACGTTGCTGTGCTTGCGTAAGGATTCCTATCGGTTGTTGTTGTTGTTGTTGTTGTTGTTGTTGTTGTTGTTGTTATCGATCCAGCAATAGCTGGGCTCTCGCCTTTCTGTCCAATGCCATGTAGTGATAAGTGCAGGTTTGCTGCAGTTGCTGTAATGTTCCATAGAGTGTGTTGTCAATGTTAGGTCTCGGAGGGAGTAGGGTAGCTCTGATTTCATTTAGGGCTGTGCAGTGGAACAGGTGATGCTCCACAGTCTCATAGGCACATTCACACAAGGGACACATTGGGGGAAGTTCCGGGTTTATTCTGTTCAGGTGGAAGTTGAGCTGTATATGTTCTGTTCGTAGGCGGAAAATCGTAGTCTGTTTCTTTCTCTGAAGGCGGTTGATATTGTCATTCCTTTTTGTTGTGGTCATATGTTTGAAAACTGCTCTGCCTGTCTTTCCCGGGATTCCTATCGGTAAACCACGCAAAAACCACCCGAAACCTCCCCAAACCCCCCGAAACCACCCAAAACCTCCTCAAAATTTCTATAATATGATGTTTTAATATGCTGTGCTATCTATAGCTCTGTGGATAAAGTATTGATCTGTAATACACTATCATCGTATTTGGATACATCTTGATCCTGAATAAATTATTTAAACTCTAAAATCCCTTCAAACAACACTTTTGTGTACAGAAACGCTTACATACGTTTCTTGGCATTGTTTAGGAAATATCCAGGAAACATAATATATAATAAGTGATAACCCAAGTTTTGGGGGAGATTTCGGGAGGTTTGTAAGGGTTTTGGGTGGTTTCGGGTGTTTTCGTGAGGTTCCGTGCTAAACAATTACCGATTCCTATCCAATCTTTCCGTCTGCATAGAAGAGAAACTATCTGGCGCTGCCAGGTGGTTACCTTAGAATTACAAAGTTCTGTCTACTATGTATCTAGTTTTGAGAGATTTGACTGAACAAATTGTTAATTTCCCAATATATTAAACTTTTTCGAATGCAATTAGTTGAATAACGACTCCGAATAATGTTACGAATTTCTTAAAGGGATAGAACATTAAGGCTTCTGGCGTCATGGTCT